GAAAGAGGAAAGTAAGAGATCACAAAATAAGCGAATTGTTCTCTCATAAAGCCAACATAAATAGTATAAGTTCATTAATGTACCTTTGGACATTTTGGCCAATCATCCTGACTGCTTTCTGATGGAGGCGCTTGGATAAATTTCACATATTTATTTATGGCTTTAGAAAGGCTACTGGAATCAGAGATGAGAAATGTTGGAAAGGATCGATCAACTGCAACGTTTGCAAAGGCTTGATTATTCACGAACACTGATCTCAAATCTGTCAACTGACCAGGCTTTAATTTTGGATAGACTGAATACAGGTACGAGGTGATTAAATAATCCAATACAGCATCTCCTAAAAACTCCAACCTCTGATGGTCAAAAGCAATGTTTAAGTTTGTTAATACAAAATTCTGCAACTTCTGATTAGCAAGCAAAGCGTGATAAGGAAAGAATTCTTATCTAACATTTAGGGCACGTTTGCATATTGTCAACAGTAAGAGAATGGAAGGAGTGTTTCTCCTTCCTTTGATGAGTTTAATTACTTAGAAATGCAATTCACATTCCTATTATGGTACATATACATTTAAATCAAGCGTTTAATTCCCATTCTTATTTCTCTTCTTTCTTTCTGAAACCCTTTTCCTTTCTGTTGCAATCCATTAAAAATTAGAGTAAACAAATCCTTAAAATAAAACTAAGTGCTAAGCACACACCTGGTAGCAGCCTCCTCCATGCCTGTTGTAAGAAGGATGAACAAATGCCTGTATAAGCAGACCCCTGTGGACAAACTGGTACCCTAATAAATTCTCAAGAGCTCCGATGTTAATTTGAGCAGCAAGTGGGTTGTAGATAGCACTTGCTATACAAACATCAGTGACTTGTGAGGCGTCAAAGTCAACTTTTATGCTAATCCATCTAAGGAATGCAGTTGCAGCCTTAAAGCCGCTGTCAACAATAAATGCTCCGATAAGAGCTTCAAGAACATCAGCAGCTGTTTTCTTATGCAACCAGTGGTGACCTTTGCTGCATCTGACTTCACTGAGATTTGTCTTATTTACCACGCCGTTCAAATATTTAGAATGAATATTTTTCTCCGTTTCGGAATTGCAGACTATTGGACATGAACGGCCCAAAGCAAAGAAGTGACAGGGATCAAATGTTTGATCCCGTATGTATACCTTAAACAAGAAAACAAAAGGAACATTACTACTATTAACGTTGAAATAACATACATGCAAATGGCATTTGTTTCCTTTCTGAATCTTTTCCCTAGAATGGAACAGTAGATTTATTAAGGGAAACATGCTTGCCAAGAGTTATCATATATACAGACAAGAGAGTTGCTCGGGATACACAGATAAAAAGCTGTGTGAATGTGTGTGTGTGTGTGTGTGTGAGAGAGAGAGAGAGAGAGAGAGAGAATATGAGATGATTGGCAATACAAAACTAAGCTACTTGAGCCGATCACCATTCAATCCATGTGTTTATTACTTTATGTTAAAAAATAGTTTCTCAGCGTTCTGGAGTACGGAATGTTTGACACCTTTTATCCATGCTGGACGAGACCTTTCACAATAAAATTTAGAATTGAAATCATTGGTTGGATAATAGGTATAGTAGTTACATCAGATCTGACATAAAGACAAGACTTTCATAATCCAGACTGGTAGTGCTCAGAAGTATGATAAATTTAGATAAATTCTGGGAAATAAAAGCCATATCCTGAAAGTTTAATCATACCTGTAAGTTCCTCTTACATGCTAGCTTGAATAAATTCAAATTGTTGACAATGTTAGACCGCTTCTTTGTAAGTTGACCTTCATCAAGGGTACCATGCAAAAGAAAAAGATGCCTTGCAACAGCATATTTGAGAAAAGCATCACCAAGTATTTCGAGCCTTTCAAGAGAGAAACCCACCTGGCACTTCTCAGTGGTAAGTGCTTCTAGAACCTAACACAAAGATTTACTGCAATTAGTAGGAAATCAGGTTCATGTCTAACTAGACAATAACAAAAGCCACTACGAGATGATTATTTGTTTACATAGATTACCAAAATTTTGGATCCCTTTCCAGAAAATTTCAGTTAAATTTTTTCTATTGATCTACTATCCAGTGAATTGTTGATTTACTAAAAGTATCTTTTTGGTAAATCACCATTTTACTGTCAATATATCAGGTAAATCGTTGATTCATTATGATTAAATTATCAATTTACCCTAAAAGAGGACATAAAATAGCAGAAAAAATGTTATCCATTTATTTAAAAATAAAAAGTGTCCAAAGCATTTATCCATTGCAATTTTCCTAAAGCAAATTAGAACAATTTGCTGTGTATGAATAGCCAACACTTAATGTTAGATATCATCCAGTAATGTCTTACACTCAAGACAGTAACTTCAGATCCCTCGGGGAATGAAACAGATAATTCATTCTTCAGTTCAATGGCAACAAGCAAGTTCTCCAAATGCTGCATAAATGATGGTAACAAAGAAATTGAACTCCCAATATCTTTCGAAAAGCCTATTATCTTCAGCTGACAAAGCTCGGGAGGCAAATAGATGAAATACTCATCTAGGTGACTTGATGCTGTAAAAAACAGATGATATTACGAAAATCAATTGGAGTGAAGAAAAGGAGAAAGAGGGAGAAGAAATATGCATAAACTATTGATAGACGTCAAGAACGACCAAAAAAAAAAAAGAGTTTTCTTACAAGATATTCTGACAAGGGGAAAAAGAAAGTAATTTGTGACTGTTATGAAAGCTCCTAAGCATGCTTAAGATGATAGCTAACTAAGCATGCCATGCGAGTTATTGAGTTTTTCGTTCTTATATCGCACATGGTTAATAATGCAAGCTACCTCATGTCTATATGCTAAATCATTAAAGTTGTGTTTCTTATGCACTCCTTATCATAGCCAGAAAGCTTTATTCTTTTTTTATTTTTTTTAAGAATATAAAATGAAAGAAAATATAACTCGTTAAAGGTAGAAACAATACAAGTTTCGATTAAACATGTGTAGACATGCTATCCCTTCAATTTGTTTGTACCCCTCTTAATCAGAAACTGTTTTCCCACTCGTCCATCTTTTTCAGTTTTCAAAAACAGATAAACAATGTTGACTTAAGGAAGGCAAAATAATAATAATAGAGGAAGAAAAACTGAAACAACCACATTTTTGTAGTCCCCTTCTCACTCTTCATCAAACTAACTTAAGTTGGACTCATAGTACAATTGAAGTTTGGTTCATTTTTTCATTTTCCAACAGCAGGCAAAGCTGCTTTGGCTTAATGGATGAGTACTGACACTGCTTGTAGGACAATTTGACATTGAAAACACTGTACTTCTTAGTTTTGTTATCCAACAAAGAAAAATAAAAAAAAACTAGGAGACGTTTGGTTCATGGATTAGAATCATGTGATTAGAACTATTTTCGATTTACGTGTATTTTTTGTGAGAGAAAACACTATAGCGAACCATGAACCATGAATCAAATCATTGTTTAAATCCTCAAACCAAACATAAAAACTAAAACCCTTGCAAGCAAGTAATTTAGATATTGAATAACCAAGTATGGTGTTTATGAACATAAGAAATACAAATCGCAGTTAATCATGGAGCAATATACTAACTATAATTAACATAATCCAACCTACTTAGGAATAGTAACTACTCAACAGAAAAAGAACTCTAATATGAGAACCAAATCAAAGGAAAAGATTACCAGATTCGTCTTGCCCCCGGTTATGCAGCAAGTTATGCAAAGAGAAAAGCGGTTTTGCTTGCAAAAGTGGTTGTTCAGGGTATTTAAGTTGGATGTCAAACCTGACTCCCAGAATTAAACAAGAAATCAATGAATACTATAATCTAAACTTTTATAACCATTTTGCAATATGTTTGAAGTAAACGAGGTACAATTTGGATGAGTTAATGAAGTATATCCTTTTTGTGATGTACTTGATATTCTTTATTTAGTAAATCATTGAGTATCTATATAAAAAAAGTTAATAATATGCTAAGAGAAAGACAAAATTATCTAATGTGCATATAAGTTTCGGTTTTTTTTTTTTTTTTTTTTTTTTGTAATAAGAAACGAGAGAATAATATTAAATCGGCAAAAAAAGAAGAGTACCACAGGGGACAAGGAGTCCTGCAGAACAAAACAAAACGAAAGAAAATCTATCAACACATGATGTCACTCTACCTACTTTTCATGTAAATCCTCCATGTAGCTTAAAGTCCTTGATTCTTCACACGGGCTGTGCCCATTCTTTTCATCGACAATTTTGGCAATGAAGAAAAAGCCCTTCTTATGAGGAGCATAAACCAAACTATTCTCAATATCACCTTTTCTTCTGCAACCACGAGCAAGTTGCAAGGTGTCTTTTGACACAAGAACTTTATTTGCTACTATATTTTCTGGGCTCCTGAAAACTGGAGATGATAAACATTTTCTGATAATCTTCCAATCTATATTCAATGTATTTTCATGATGATGAAAATTTACTGGGAGCAACAGGTAGAAGGTTGATGAGCTTGATTCAGAAGAGTCATTCTTTCCCAATTGGACATATTCGGGGACAAAGTCCATCCTATCAAGGATGACCTTGAGAAACATTTCTTGAAATTTCTCTGCCAAAGTAATCTGAATTACAGAAAAAATAAGAAATACTTAAAAAAAGGTATAGGCATAAAATTTTTCACAAACATAATTCTCTACCTCGTCTTCATAAAATTCTGCAACTCCCGATGGGATCAGCTTTGTCATCACTGATCTACCACGAGCCAAATGAAGCTCAAGTTCCATTTTCTCGGCCTCTACTGGGAGATTTGCCTTGAGAAACAGACCAAACTTTTTATAGACTCTATCCACAGGATTCGGCATAAATTCTATATAGTAAGAGTTAAGATAAACAGGAACATCTGAACTTTTCCATGGCTCTTTAAGCAAAGCAGGAACTAACATCTCATGCAATTCTACTCGGGTACCCTCATCTAGCACAAAACAAAACCAACAATATTTGGTAGAATAACAGACATAAACAAGAGAAAGAAAGTATAAATAGTAGTTGTGACCAAACCTCCATGGTTGTCAGAATCAGAAGAGTTGAGCATTGGCCCCTCCAAATATGATTTATCTTGCATTGGCAAGAGATAATCATTAAACACTCCCAATTTATGCAACTCTTCAATCGCTTTAAGACAAGCATCTTTTTTAGCAGCTTCTGATGAAGATTGGGGTGTGCTGACAATTTGATGAATTGGACCATTGGAAGGCAAAACTATATGACATACAGTTCCCTCCAAATCATCAAGAAAAAAGAACTTTGGTTTGGGGTCAAAATACCTGCAGGAACATGTCGAAGTTTGAACATGAGCAATGCTACTTGGCACCAGTGATCCTAGACGCTACTAAAAATGGATGGGTGGGTGAAGCACATAAGAGACTACCACACCATTGACGCTCTTTATCTTTATCCATTGAAAATATGGTCAAACAGTATTCAAAATCTCTCAGAGTGATTGAAATAATTAAGTATGATAACAAAAGACAAAAGTCATATTCAACGGAGGGACATACTCATCATGTGGAAGTTTCGAACAATATTGGTGGAGCAATGATATACTATATGCAGAAGAAATGGAAGCACCAGATGAATCAACTTTATATACTTTTTCTTCCAAGCCTATAAATATCTCGTTAGATGTTCTTTGAGCAATTTCAAAGTTCATTTGACGTTCATCTCTTCTAAAGTTTTCTAGCAGATCCATCTCTTTTTTATTGCCCCTGCAACCATAAGAAAATCAACAATTAGTGCCAAGACAAAGAAAAAAGAACCAAATTGTTGTTTTCAAAACACATGCTTTGGAAAGGCACCTAGCCACCAAAAATGCATATTCAGACTGAGGCATGCGCGCACGACCTCTCGATTGTATGAAGCTAGCAACAGTTTCTGGGAGATCAAATCGTATCACCAGGCAACATGTCTGAATGTCAAGTCCTTCTTCACCTACTTTAGTTGCAATCAATAGATTTAACTGCCAAAGAAATAAGCCAAAAGATTCAATTTTTGGATTCCATCAGAAGAAAGTCATGGAAAAAAAATACAAATATATTGACAACCAAAGGAAAGAGTTGAACTTTCCAACGCCTATTACACAAAAAGCTAGAACACACGAGGGACACAACGTATATTTGCACATTGTTGTGTTCCATTGAGTTTTGGAACATCGTAGTTGGGGAAGATGACTAGAAGCTTGATTCATGGAAGAACTAAGAAGAGAAAGTATATAGCAAAAGGTTGGAAAGATGAATTAAGATGCATTGGTACAGAATAATGTGTGGTTAATAAGAAGATACAACACATTACATCTCCAGATCGGAACTTCTCGAGAATGATTTTCATGGTCTTGCGTGACACATTCCTCAATCCAGAGTTTATTCCTACAAGCAAATCACAATTCCAAAATGCCAGAAATTCGAGGCTTTGCAGTATGCATGACAAGGATCTTGCTGTGATGATCCTGTTAACAAAAATTATACATTTCGTATTTGGATTTACCCTGAAAAGGCAGGGGGAAGCCTTATTAGAAAAACAGTCAGAAAACATAAATAATTAGATATATCATTTTCTCAGCTAACTGCTTAAAAAGAATTAGTGACTTTAACAATGACCTGAACACTAAAATACATTGTCAAATCAATTATAACATTTTTTCGATAAGAAAAAAGAATTTCAGTCATAATGATCAGTAAAAGACTAATACAAGAGGGGAGGATAAGGTATCCACACTACTAGAACAGTAATGAAAGAAAAATAAAAATTAGAGCCTGAACAAAAATACTACATTGTCAAATCAATTATAACATGAATATCGGAAAACAAAAATAAAAAGCATGAAGTCCCTATGACATGAAACTTTGCTATTTTGTCTCTATCAAGCCAATATTTTAGCATGCTTGAGATACATACTAGCCTAGGGGTGTTTAAAACTTGCAAGTAACCTATTAAACAAATCCAATCCAATCTGTAAAGTCCAGATAATTAATTAATTATGGGTTGCATTGGTTGGCATTTTGTAAAAACCGACTAAATGCAAATCAGTTATGGATTGTGTAAAAAAAAGTCAAACCTATATCGATCCTCACTGTGTAAATAAATACATATTAAATATAAATAAAATTAAGACATACTTTTTATATATTTTATTTTTTTAAGGGTTTAGATATAAAATCCTAATGCTAATCCTCTATGAGTTAGTTTGATCTTCATTTGTTATACTTTTTATATATTTTATTTTTTCAAGGGTTTAGGTATAAAATCCTAATGCTAATCCTCTATGAGTTAGTTTGATCTTCATTTGTATCAAGTGGCAATGAATTTGTGACATTGGACTAGTTTTGAGTGTTATATGTTTTTTAAAATTAATTTTTTATACGTCATTCTCAATAATATATTATACATATACATATATTTTTTTGATGTAAGGCAACCAGAGCATTATTTATGGCTGAAACTTTTGCTTGAAGCAGGTTTTGAGTGGGTTTTCCCTGCTCATTGCAAGACTTTGTTGATTGAGAAAATGCTGGGCTTCAAATCTAATAAGATGGCTAAAGTTCTCTAGAAAAGTATGGTACTGTCACTGATGTGGGCGATTTAGATAGAGAGAAATATCAGAATTTTTGAAGGAAAAGATTTGGAGTTAAATGACACTTTCGAGGAAGCTAAATTTTAGGCCTGCTTTGGGCGTCAACAAACAAATCCTTTTTTTTTTTTTAAGAAATAGGGATCTTTATTGATCATAAAATAAAGAACAGGGAGAAAGGAGGAAGAGTTTTCCTAAAGCAACTAGGTTCCAAGATTACAAAGGAAAATCAAACCAGGTTCCAATATTACACAGGAAAATCAAAAATTGAAAAATCCAAAAGCTAAACCAGAAAACAAAAAGGAGAAAGGCTACAAATAAGGGGCCCAACTCTTGACAAAATCCGAGAAAACCGGCTTCCCAAATTCTTTATCCCTGTAAACCCACAATGAAACCCAATACTTAATTTTATCCCATAGGACCATAACATCTTCCTCGCGGTCTACAAAGACTGCTATTTCTTTTAACCAGATTCCCCAAAAAATGGCAAAAACTGCACCCTCCACAAAATTGACCCCCTGTGACTAAAACCAGATGGGGAAGATAACACAAACAAATCTGCACAGTTCCTCGGCAAAACCCACAAAAAACAATCAAACTCCTTCAATAGACAATGACATGACCATAACTGTCTTTTAAAGTTTTTCCTTTTTGTTGTTTGTTTTTTATAGCTTTCTGTACCCTTTTTTGTTTTGTCTTTGAGGACTCCTTGTCCTCTTTCTTGTGTTTTTTCCTTTGTAAAACTCATTGTAGAAATACTCGGTTAAGAAAATTCTAGAATAGTTGACAATAGTAAATTAGGAATATAGAGATTTAGGATTATTCCCAATATCTCTATTTATGGAAGTTTCTTAATTTCTGGTTTGTTTCCTATTTTATTCTTTATTTCCGGATTCTATATGAAATCAGTAATTATGTAATTAGTGTTAGGGTGAACAGAGACCTAATGTATAAGTAGGGCTGTACATACATGTTTTTATCAATGAGAGAATAATCATTCCCTAAAAACTTCATGGTATCAGAGCAGCCTCCTTTGATCCTGAAATAGATGACAAAGTACGGCATGACAATGAGCCGCCAGAGTCAATCTCCATCAGAGGTTTCCTCCTCCGAAGCTGTTACCACCAGCAACAATGGCATCTCTGATGGCCTTATTCAGTCCATTACTGGACATAAACTCAATGGCCAAAACTACCTCCATTGGTCACAATCCGTTATGATGTTTGTCTGTGGAAAAGGGAAAGAAGATTATCTTTCTGGGGCAGCAACACCACTGGAAGGAAAAGATCCAAAGTATAAACTTTGGAAGGCCGAGAACAACATGGTCATGTCTTGGCTTATCAATTCTATGACCAACGAGATTGGGGAGAATTTCCTACTGTGTGGGACTGCCAAAGAAATCTGGGACGCAGCCAAAGAGACATACTCCAATTTCGATAACTCATCTGAGTTATTTGCCGTGGAGAGCATTCTCCATGATCTGCGTCAAGGTGATCTTTCTGTGACTCAGTATTTTAATACCCTCACAAGGAATTGGCAGCAGTTGGACATGTTTGAAGAACATGATTGGAAGTGTCCTGAAGATGGAATGAAATACAAGATCGTTGAGAAGAAAATACTTTATAAGTTCTTGTTGGGACTCAACAAAGAACTGGATGAAGTTCGAGGAAGAATCATGGGGATGAAACCACTGCCGAGTGTCCGAGAAGCTTTTTCAGAAGTCCGCATGGAAGAGAGCCGAAAGAGGGTGATGATGGGACCTACAGTAGCTGCTCACAACCCAGAAGTATCCGCCCTTATTGCTCAGGGGCCCCAACACCAAGCTGGAGATTCGAAAGCAAGGAGAGGACGATCTTGGTGTGATCATTGCCGTAAACCCAGTCACACAAAGGAGAACTGCTGGAAAATTCATGGAAAGCCAGCAGATTGGAAGCCGGCAAGGCTAAACAACAGAGAAGGACACAGCAATCTCGTCTCCAGCGAAACAAATCCTCCACAACCCGAGCAGAATCTGTTCAACAAAGAGCAAATGGAGATTCTGCAAAAACTGATCAACCCGCACCATGCCAATACCTCAGAAGTTGGAACCGTGTCTCTAGCTCATAAAGGTAATCTCCTAAATGCCTTCAATAACCTACAGTAGCTGCTCACAACCCAGAAGTATCCGCCCTTATTGCTCAGGGGCCCCAACACCAAGCTGGAGATTCGAAAGCAAGGAGAGGACGATCTTGGTGTGATCATTGCCGTAAACCCAGTCACACAAAGGAGAACTGCTGGAAAATTCATGGAAAGCCAGCAGATTGGAAGCCGGCAAGGCTAAACAACAGAGAAGGACGCAGCAATCTCGTCTCCAGCGAAACAAAGCCTCCACAACCCGAGCAGAATCTGTTCAACAAAGAGCAAATGGAGATTCTGCAAAAACTGATCAACCCGCACCATGCCAATTCCTCAGAAGTTGGAACCGTGTCTCTAGCTCATAAAGGTAATCTCCTAAATGCCTTCAATACAACACGAGAGATGTACAAACCGTGAATTGTGGATTCAGGAGCCTCTGGCCATATGACTGGAGATGCAAGGTTGTTCACCACTTATAGTTCTTGTAATGAGAACTTTACTGTCAGGATTGCAGATGGATCACGCTCAAGAGTCATAGGGAAAGGATCCGTAGTTGTATCAAAGGACCTTACCTTAAACTCCGTATTTCTTGTCCCTAATTTGGATTGCAATCTCTTATCAATTAGTAAACTCACTCATGAGCATAATTGTGTTGCTAATTTTTTCCAAAACTCTTGTAAATTCCAGGACCTGGATTCGGGGAAGATGATTGGCAATGCTAGGATGTACTCGGGGCTCTATATTCTCAAGAATGACCATCCACGGGGACAACAATCTCACATGGCAGATTCGGACATGCAAAACCAGCAACTTACAAAATTTTCTTGTTCTGTTTTTCAATCCAATAATGATAGTGCAATCATGTTATGGCACTATAGGCTAGGCCATCCCAACTTTGTTTACCTTCAAAAACTTGTTCCTTCATTATTCATCAATAAAAGTCCAAAAGATTTTCAGTGTGATATTTGTCAGTTTGCTAAACACACTCGTAGTTCATACTCAATTCAACCATACCAAAAATCCCATTCATTCTCAATGATTCACAGTGATGTATGGGGACCTTCTCGGGTTAAAAACATCACTGGAACAAGGTGGTTTGTGTTGTTTGTTGATGATCATACTAGGATTACTTGGGTATTTCTCATGAAAGAAAAATCAGAAGTTGAACAAATCTTCAAGAATTTTAATACCATGATTCAAACCCAATTCCACACCAAAATACAAATATTCCGCACAGATAATGCCAGGGAATATTTTAAAATCTTTCTCGGGGAATACTTACAAAATCAAGGTATTATATACCAAAGTTCTTGTGTTGATACCCCTCAACAAAATGGGGTGACAGAAAGGAAAAATAGGTATATCTTAGAGGTTGCTAGATCACTTATGTTCTCCACCCACGTTACAAAACATTTTTGGGGGGAAGCCGTACTCACAGCAACCCATCTCATAAACTGAATGCCCTCACGAGTCCTAAACTTTCAAACCCCATGTCAGTCTCTTCTTCTTTCCTACCCAAAGTCCAGACTTCTCTCAACCATTCCATTCAAAGTGTTTGGTTGCTCTGCATTTGTTCACATCCATCAACGACACAGAAGCAAACTTGATCCTAAATCCCTCAAATGTATTTTTATTGGTTACAGCCCAAATCAAAAAGGGTACAAGTGCTATTCCCCGGTCACAAAGCGATTCTACATCTCAATGGATGTCACATTCTTTGAAAATACACCATACTTTCCCAAATCAGCTATTCAGGGGGAGAATGTACAAGAATACCAGCTTTGGGACATAGATGTTCCATCATCAAGTCATCCTTCAGACCCAGTCACTGGTTCGGCCATCACCACCACTGGTCCGGCCATCACCACCACCATGTCTGTCCCAAATTTTCAATCCGAAAACACTAGTTCAGATGACCTCCCAACCTCAATTCCTATCCAACATCCGAAACCTGCCAACAATGGTGAGTTCATTGTATATTCCCGAAGGAAGAAAACTCAAGAGGATGTAGAGCAACAAGCACCTCCTGAGCAGCGTCAAGAGGCTGAACCGGATTCAAGAGTTCTTGAGACTCTATCATCAGGTAACACTAGCCCTGTGAACATTATAGATAAGCCTAATATTGATGATCTTGATTGTCCAATTGCATTAAGGAAAGGAGTGCGATCTTGTACTAGTCATCCAATTCACAATTTTGTATCTTATAAACAATTGTCGCCGAACTATCATACTTTTGTGGCAGAATTAGACAAGGTGCAGGTTCCTAACTCCATCCACGAAGCCCTGTCTATTCTAGAATGGAAAACGACAGTGTGGGAAGAAATGAAGGCTCTAAAGAAGAATGGAACTTGGGAAATTTCAGAGCTACCAAATGGGAAGCGTACAGTGGGGTGCAAGTGGATATTCACTGTCAAATACAAGGCAGATGGTAATGTGGACAGATTTAAAGCACGGCTGGTTGCTAAAGGGTTCACTCAAGCATATGGCATTGATTATCAAGAGACCTTTGCTCCAGTAGCCAAATTGAATACTATTCGGGTATTACTTTGGCTGCAAATCTTGATTGGCCTCTCTGCCAACTTGAGGTTAAGAATGCTTGCCTTAATGGGGACCTTATAGAAGAAGTTTACATGGATACTCCTCCTGGTTTTGAGTCTCACGCTACTATAAATAAGGCATGCAAGCTCAAGAAGTCTCTTTATGGATTAAAAAAATCTCCCAGAGCATGGTTTGACAAGTTCAATAAGACAGTAAGGAAGTATGGATACTCACAATGCCAGGCAAATCACACAGTCTTTGTTAAGCACTCATTAGAAGGGAAGATAGCAATTCTCATTGTATATGTGAATGACATCATGAATGATGTCATTCACATATACAATGAGAATTGCTATCTTCCCTTC